TCTCCTTGTCCTTCTCTTTTTTCCTCGCTCTCAGCTAGCTGCTCCTTCTCTTTCTTCCCGTGCTGCCTTTTGTTGTCCTTGTGCCTGGCAGCTCGGGCAGCCTCGGCAGCCTGGACAGCCTTGGACGGCAGCCTCTGCCGCTTGTTGGGCCTCCTTCGCGGCTTGGGCCGCTTGTGCAGCAAGGGCAGCCTGTGCAGCCTCGCAGCCTGGTAAAAAGCTGCCTCGCCGTGGTCAGCCTGACTTTCTCCGCAGCTTGGTGGGGTTCCTGGGCCTCCTCTTCTTGGCGGGCCGGCCGGCCTCCTCAGCTCGGCGGTGGCGGGCCTCCTCAGCTTGGCGGGCCTTCTCAGCAGCTCGGGCCTCCTCAGCAGCTCGGGCCTCCTCAGCGCGGGGGCCGGCTCTTCTTCTCCACGTTCACCGTCAAGCGCTTACGTTGCCCCAAAATACGCGTAGCCACGCTCGTGCGAGAGTTTCCCCAATTTTGATTGTTCCCCGCATCGATCAAAATTCGCTCGCAGCCCCTGCAAAGAAGCTTGACGGTGAGGATGCTTCCCCAGAAAAGTCTCCCACTGACGTGGCATGCTCCTAAACACTTGGGCCTCCTCATGATCCCTCTCACTGCACCTGCCTTGGTATCGAGAAACCCTGGGCAACCGTTTCCGAGCGCCCGCTGTTGGATCTTGGTGCCTACCCATGCGCCTGGCGTTGGAGGTCTTGGATCCCAGTCGAACCTCGTGAGCCCTGACCAGAGGAAGCCTACCTCCCGACACAGGTCCCGAACATCCTAAAGTGTTCCTAACCTCAGACTGGCGGTCAACACAGGCACCAAAAGTGAATCGCTCGCCTGACAGGCAGTTTGTGTCAAAAGGGCGCAATGAGTCAGGAACGCACAAACCTCCGCGACACAAAGTGATTGCACTGAATGAAATTCTCATGTTCTTCCCACGCGTCTTGTCTCTCTCTCTTTCTTCTTTCTGCTTCTTCTGTCTCAAACGTTCCACAGCTCTCTACAAACATCTTTTGATCCGTTCCCTACGAAGCCAAGACAAATCGTCCAAGGACAGCATGGCGTCCTCAACAGCGCTGAGGTTTTCCTCCTCTGCCTCAAGGACAAACAAACTCGCTCCCAGAAAAAGACTCACGTGGACTTTGTCGCCACAGTTTGTCATGGGTCCGCTGGATTCAACCGACCCTCCGCAAAGTGAGTAAAAGCCACCCAGTCTCCGTATGAAACTCTGCATGACGCGCCTTCCGCTGAAGTCCAGCCATTGACGCGATGTGAGACGCCTTATGAATCTGACAGCTGATGCAGCTTGAAATGGCTAGTCTCATGTGTCAGTTGACCGAAATGGTCTCGCTTCGGCAAGCCCTCCAACAGCGTCTGAACCCAGATCGCTGAAAGACATGCTGAAATAAAAGGGTGGTGCCCCTCGTGGCAAGATGGTTCGTGGTCTTCCTCGTCCTCCGTAGACACAAGTCCTTCCGAGGTGTCACCTTCGTCGTGTTCGTGAGTCACAAAAAAATCACTCCTTAGCATGCGAAACAGCCCCAAAACCAATCTCAAACCTTCGTCGACAAGGTCTGTCTGGTAGGTAGTGGCCCGCTCAACAGCCGCAAACACACGCTCAAGCGTCTCAGACTTGCACGCGTCAACACCCCTTAGGGCCTCTGGGGCTCCCTCTCGGGGTGTTCCCTGCATATGTGTCCATTGAGGCATTGGCCCACCAGGACCTGTCATCCAACTCAAGCGGAATCGACTGCCCGCCACGCTCAAGGTCCCCAAAGACCAAACAAGACTTGCGTCCCACAGCCAGCCGACACTCCCAACCATGAGCGACCAGCACGTACGGCGACATGACGTTGAACGGGATGTCTGCGACTATGCACCGCGTCAACACCCGCGCTTTGGGCTTGGAGCTTTCACCGCTCCGAAACCGAACCTGCAGATCAACAATGCCATGAGTGCCTATGAGTTCGTCATTTGCGGCTCTAAGCTCACAACTCTCATGGTGGGTGCGAACCACTCGGTATGCAAACAGAAACTTCTTTGCCACAGTGACTGGTGGCTCCACTGTCTAAAAGCCATCTACCCGCTGAGTCCTGAGATTGTCTGTGCACGGACTCGCTAGCGCGCTCAGAGTGAACAGGCGGCTCAAGCGGCTCATGATTGGTGCTGTTCATGGATTTCATCTCTCCATGCCTGATCATCATTCTGTGCTTCAGAGTCATCAAAGCCCTGGGGTTGTCTTCGTTTCCGTACTCCGCGCTTTCCAAAGAAAAAGTGCAATCTTTCTTCATGTGCCCATTTTTCCAGCATTTCCAGCAAGGTCCCAGCTTGGTCGGGTCCTTCTCGGTCTTCTTTGGCGACTTGCAATCTTTCGACTGATGCCCTGGCTTTCCGCAATTCCAAGAAAAAGCATCTCCTCCTCCAGCGCCCTTTCCGAAGAGGACCGTTTGCCACCTTTTTTTCCCTTAGAATCGCTTTTCCCCTTCGGGTCCTTCCCCTTCTTCCCCTGTCCCTTAGGACTAGGTGGGCCACCCTTAGGAGAACTAGGGTTCTTGCCGTCGCCCTTTCCTTTCCCCTTCAGCGCAGACAGTCGAAAGTCAGTGTCTCCCATAACGCGTGTCTGGATGTCATAATCCAAAACTGCAGCTGAAAGTTGAGCGAAATCTGAGGCCCGGCGATTTACCTGGCAATGCAATCATGTTCTGGCAGATTCCTGAGCAAAAGCAAAAACTTGTCTGCCTCGTGAAGATGGAGATATTTCACGTCCACCGTAGTGCAGCTGTCAACAATGCCATTCGTATCTGAGTCACAATCAAAACCCGGTATTAAAATGGTCTACCCAGAACCATGTAAAGAATTAAGAAGGCGGCCGCAACTATTTCTGGCTGGGACTGCCCCTTTCTAACCTTCATCTACCCAGGTTTTGCTTGTGGCTCATCTGTGGATCTCGCTCTCAATGGCTCGAACCACGTCTGTCAGTTGCTTCTCTTTCACATGGAACTGCAAAATTGAGGCTCGAAAACCCATACATTCCGCGCGAGACTGGATAGACATCTCTGCATGCACTCGTCTCAGTAATTCATATCCAGGTGAAACACCCTCTGAGTTCAGTGTCATGTAGTGCTCGACGATGCGTTCTGCCCGTCCGAAACCAGCCAAAGCTTGCCTGACACAGCTAAGCAAAGGTCTGCTGCGAATCCGCTGCTGGTCGGTCTTCCCGGGGTCCTGCCCTGCCAAAAAAATGAAAAGGGAAGAGTCCTAAGCATCAGAGCTTGGAGCCGAACGGTTCGAGCCCAGAGCTTGCAAGCCCAAAAATTGGAGCTCAAACCTTAGAGCCCAAGCAGAGCTTGGAGCCCAAAGGTTGGAGCCCAGAGCTTGAAGCTCAAATAATTCACATGCAACTCTCACATTCAAAGACATTCTGGAGCTTCCCGTGCATAGGAATCATTGATCATGCTCAACCATGACGTGAATTTGTCAATCCACATCCGGTATCCGTGAATCTCCTGAGCTCTGGACCTCCAATTCTTGAAGTCAGGAACCGGCATATCAATTCCAAATGGCAACTTCCCTTCTCCCAAAATTTGCTGGTCAAATTGGCCTGTAGCAAATGCCGGGTTCTGCGCTTGAGGTGCCTGCTGTGGAAAAACTGGGAAAACCTGAGATTGCTGCTGCTGTGGCTGCTGAGGCACTGGAGGCCCGAACAACTGCTGGCCCATGGGCGCCATTCCAGGAAAAACGCTGCTTTGCCCTCCAGAAGGTGCTGAGCTGGCTCTGCCTTGCGAAAACTGTCCTCCAGGCGCGCCGCCATGTTCCAAGGCAGTCAGCCTCGCGCCAACTGAGGACACCAGACTGCTCAAATTCTGTGTCTGTTGTTGAATGTCATTCATGAATTTCCCCAAAACAACATCAAGCTGCTTCTGCAGCTGCTCTGCAGTGAGCGCGCTCTGCGGAGCCGGAGACGCAACCCACGGATCATTTGTCTGAAGCGGGTCAAACGCACTCCCTCCACCCACATTGGCCCTAGGCCCAAACAAACGAGGAGGAGTGCCGAGATTCTGGTCGTCGTCTCTACCTCTTGCATCTTGAAAAACATCTGCATCCTGAGATCCCGCGTCTGGTGTAAACGCCATCCCTGAAGATATGGATCACCACAAATGCTCCGCTACCATGAAAATATCCGTCTCCAAGTGGTTCGTCACACGCCACTCACAGATATGTGTATCACCGCAAATCAAGCAAACCCAGATATCACCAAACGTATATGGAAAATGGGAGTTGGGCTCGTCCACAAATCAAATCCAAGCTGAACAGCTGAAAAATGCCCGTGATATGCTCCAAAATGCTTAGCGGTATATATCAAAGCTCCGCAAAACTCAGCAATCAATATCTTCGATATGATTCAGAGTAGAGTGACTTTTCCATGCGAAGCACTCAAGATGCAAAACATGCAGCTTGATAGCGGTCAAAAAGCGATCTACACTATGCACAAGTCCGTCTGCATTCAAATCAAATGTGAATAGTCACGAGAAAAGGTTGCACTTGACAAGCTCTCAACACTGCATTTGCAAAGTGAACGCCTGTTCGACATGCCAAGCAGACCAAAAGGATAATGCAAAAAATTCGCCATGCCGTCGAGCGGAAAAAGCGACGCACAACCCGATGAAGGAGGGCGCCTCCGCATGGCGTACTTTGCGCATGGAGAAGCAAAGAGCAAAAACTGGTGGCTTCAAAAATGCCTCTCCAATACCAAACACGCTTCTCTGAGCAATCATTCCATTCGACAAGCCACATATTGACACTAGGCGTCGGAAGCCCGAAGCGCGGTCGACCTGCTCGTGGGAAATCCGTCCGAATGCTGGAACAAAACGGGCATGGTTGTGGAAAAGCGAAAAGGGCCCAACATCTTTGATAGTAACATGGTCCACTTCTCACTACTGTATCACTTTATACCGATTTTCCAGTAGTTTAACCAAAACAAGCTCCCATGTTCACAACCATGAACTAGCTGAGGTCGGATTCCAAGGCTTTTCGCAAAGCCCAAGCGCCCTAAAAGGGGCAAAGGCTCGCGCTGACTTCTGCCGGCAGGTTGGCTCTTCTCGATCTATATACCTGCACGAGTCTCACCGTGGTCCTCATTGATGAAGAAACCAATTCCTGCGGCAAGCTGCACGCTTCTGGACCTAAAGTTGGATCATTCCTCCATTTGGCAGCCCCATTCTCCCATTCTTTGGTGAGGTCGGATCAGCGCGGCAAAAGTGAGCTGAAACCTGCAACTTGCTTTTTAGTCCACCAACTTGACCATGGGAATGTACATCCATATGCGGTTTTCATCTTTGATCCTTTGTGTTGATGGTGTGGTGTTGTGTTTCTCAGAATAGGATCGGTCCCCATGGTTCACTTCCACGGGTATACGTCTTGGCTCTCCGTTTTGCCATGTCCGAATCCCAAGCCCGACTTCAGAAAATCTTCGTGTGTTGCAGAAAAAACACCTCGTTGGCCATCCGTTTAAATGATTAACTATCCATTTCAATGGTTTGTCTAGCAGCAGTTCGCCCATAGTCTTAACTTCGGGTCAAGTAGGTAATCAGGGGGGGCTCACCCAGTAAGACCTGATGAAAATGCCTGATCACTTCTTGGTGCGAAACATCTATAAGCACCTTGCTCAACGCCAAGGGCATCTTCGAGGCAATGCGAGCCCCATCTTCAAATCCTAGAAGGGGTTACCCCAGTAATGCCGACCAGGGTCCGCGTGCTATTGGAAAATCCATGGAATTCATTTTTTAAGCTTAACTGAAACCAGGGGGATCCATCTGTGTTTTGCTGCGGGAACTATGGGGTGTTTCATCTGCACTTCTTGGAAGTTCCGAGCGCCAAGGGTTTGCAAATCCATGCCGAACCACGGTCGCGGGCGCTTCGCCGCTATAACTTCTTCCCAAGCTTCTTGTTGTTTCCGGGCTGGTTCGGGGTGGTTCCGGAACCCTTGACTGATTAAATTAGACGTAAATTATCCCCCTGGGATACACAATCAACAGGTCAACATACTTGATTGTTGCAATTAGTCTGGTTTCAGTACTAGTAAGAAATACGAGTAGTGACTAGTAGGTAGTAGGTAGTAGGTAGTAGGTAGTAGGTAGTAGGTAGTAGGTAGTAGGTAAAGGTGGTAAGACGTAGTAGTAGTAAGAAGTAGAAGTAGTAGAAAAAGTAGTAGTAGTAGCAGCAGCAGCAGTAGTAGTAGTAGTACTAGTACTAAGTAGTAATTAGTGATAATTAGTAGCAAGTAGTAGCAATTAGTAGTAAATAGTCTGTGATTAGTAGTACTAGTAGTGGCAGCAGCAGCAGCAGCAGCAGGAGGAGTAGTAGTCGTAGGAGTAGTAGTAGTAGTAGTAGTAGTAGTAGTAGTAGTAGTAGTAGTAGTAGTAGTAGTAGTAGAGTAGTCGTAGCAGTAGTAGGTAACAGCAGTAGGTAACAGTAGTAGGAGTAGCGGGTAGTAGTAGCGGTGATAATGGTGGCAGTAGTGGTAGCGTGTCTAGTAGTAGCCGTAGCAGTAGCCGTAGCAGTAGCCGTAGCAGTAGCCGTAGCAGTAGCCGTAGCAGTAGCCGTAGCAGTAGTAGTAGCAGCAGTAGTAGTGGTAGCAGTAAGTAGCAGTCGTAGTAGTACGCAGTAGGAGTAGTAGTAAAACCACCTAAGAACATTGTTTTTCTGGGGGGGGGTTGGGACCCCCGGTTAATTGGACACCCTCCAAGGTGCAACTCTGATTTCGCCACGCGGCGATCGCCAATCATCATACACCTTGGCTGCGAGCAATGGCCTGCATTGCTACGCGCTACCTTGCGGTAGGTTCATCCTTGCCAAAAGGCATACGCTCTGATGAACGGACCACTTCCCTCTACACCCAAGTCCAAAGTCTGAGGGTTGACTGGGAACCGATTGAATACATCGGAGGGACGGCGTGTGCCGTTCATGGCGTGCTTTCCAGGGCTTCCAATTCTTTTCGACGCCTCAAAGCCGTCCTATCTTCATAGGTTCCTGTGCCAGGCCAAAACTCCTGGCCGATTTGGAGTATCTTGACCGAACCAACGCAGGTACACGGAGGAAAAAAAACAAAGGAAACACACGGAGAAAGCGGCGTCCATCGGGGGAGCAAACAACGACAGACTTTGTTCCCGGTAAACTCAGCCGTAAGGAACAAGAGCGGCGCGCCCCCGATGGCCATGCAGGGAGCCAACCATGGAGGGAACACCTAGGCGCAGACGCCTGGGAGTTGGGTCTCATGCCAAGTCTTTCTTTCCAAAGCGGTGAATTACCACGGTGGCCTAGGACTGCCACGAGCCTTGAATGGTTTTGCATGCTCTGACCCCCTGGGCTGTGCTGTCTGCTGTCCAGGGATCGCCGCATTGATATTGCCGCCGACGACTTCCGGCATCAGCCCTTGCGTCTCGCAAAGCAAGAACCATGACAAAAGGCTGCTTTGCAAACACCGATTGGGTGACCCGTTCGGGCTGCAAATGGATGCCGCACACAAATTGTTCTTTGGTGGGGCGGGGTCTGTTTAGAACCTGCTAATTACACGGGTCCAATCACCCGCGCTCCAGTATCCAGCAAAAAAGCTCGAATGACTCGAGTCTGCCAATGCGGAATCTCCAGAAATGCCTTCGACCATTGCAATTTTGCACGCCGTATGCATTGCCAAACCCAGATCCATTTGCCTAGGCAACCTTGGGCTGCACCCTTTGAAGTCCGAAAGGAACATGGTGAAGTGCAGAGGCAAAACGCCAAGCACTGGGAGCCTTGCAAGTGGTTCGTTTGGATTGCTCCCTATGCCGGCGTCTTGCCCAACTCTGCGATGCACGAGCTCCGGCCTGCGTCGGCCACTCGCAGCTTGCCGACCTTCGCTGCCCAAAGACCCCGAGGGTGGCCTTTGGGAACGCCGGCTTGAGGCCAAACGAACAGGCCTGTGGAGGGGCGTTGTGAACACAAGAAGGGCCCCCCGACGGATCCGCTTTGTATCCTGAGCAAGACCAAAGGGCTAGCAAGGAATCGAAGCGCGAGCATTCGCACCAGGATGTGGGTTTGTCGCTATTCAGGCACCCCTCCCCAAGACAAACAAAGGCGGTTTTCTGAACCCGCCCCCCCTTTCCGTGAAAAACAGCTCCGACCCATCCCAACCAACTCCGCCCGGTTTTTTCAACCGCAGGCGCCCCATAGACGCGGCCACGGGGGTCGCAAACGGAGTCGGAGGCTCTGCCCATGCGAGTGGTACAGGAGTAGTGCCTGGCCCAAAAGCTTCCGGAAACTCTCATCTCCGGGTGTTGGTCACCCAAAGGACTTTGATTTTGTGTCATTGTGTTTGATCATACTCAATACTATTGGACCAAGGGATTTGAACATGATTGCGTTTTCCTTCCATTTGAGATCCCGCCGCCCAGAAAGGGTTCGTTCAGTTTGAGACCCAATTCCCCCGCCCTGTCGTTGTTTCGGGAAATTTGACAACACAAAAGGGCAGGAGCTAGTCCTTAGGTCAGCTTGAATGGACTCGCATGGTTTCACCCTACCTTTGGAACCCGTGGCTTGGTTCCAAAGCTTCCAAGGAGAACTCAAAAGATTGCGGTTGCTTGCAACAGCCATCTTCACCCTGCAGACGTACCAACCAAATGCTGGGGTTTTCAGGGCTTGACATGCATCAGCTGACCTACAGCCAACAAAACCCTGGGTTCAAGAGGAGCAAACATGTCAGGGGCTTCCGGTCTGGGGCTTCCCTCAAGCCAAATTGGAACCGGTCTGTCGGAGAGTCTCTGCTGGCTCCCGGCCAGTGGCTTGGAAGACCCCCACCCCCGCGAGAAGGCACTTCTGGAGGAAGATGAACTTCTTGAAGAGACCCTCTGTCAGGTGCTATGTTAGTGGGAGGCAGGGTAGTTTCCCTGCAGCCAACAGTGCACTTCTTTCGAGTTGTTTTTGTTCGTTGGATTTGTCGCGAAGCGCACCCCCCCCTTCTCAGGTTGCCCCTTTCAGTTGGTGGTTTGGATTGTCAGTTGGTGGTTGGAGGGCTTGGCGCAGGGTTTTTCAGCCTGATATGTATATATCTGTATATATATATATATATGTATACATGCATAGTTCTAGGGGTTAATTCCCAATTCTTTCAGCCATAGTTCTTCAAAAAGCAGCTGTTTCCCCTTGAAGCGTTTTGGTGGCCTTCTGAAAAGAAGGTTTTTGTTGGGTGGTTTTAGGGAGGACCCGCCGAAAGATTTTAAATCTTACTAGCTGTGAACTAGTGAGGCATATTTGAGTGGCAACAACCAAATCCACGGGAACAACCAGCGCAGCTGCCAAGGGTCAACATCCAAATCGTACCAGTGAAGATCCGATTCAATCCAACCACTAAAATAGGTCCTAAAATGGGTGGTGAATTCACCTCACAGCCAAAATGGGATCCCAAAACGGTTTTGACCACCACCACCGCACCGGTGCGTTTTTTTTTTTCAAGCGACCCCCCCACGCGACCAACCGACCGGCGTTGTCCGCGCCAGGTGGTGCGGAGCTGCCGGCGCACGAAGCTCCGCTGCGCGGCCTGGCGGAAGGGGGGGGACGACTCTGTGGATGTGCCGTTGGCAGCTTCCCTGCGGACGCCCAACTCGGTCGCCGTTGGAAAGGGGAGGACACATTTTGTTTTGTTTAATTTGCGGCTAAGTGGTTGGATTTCCACCACTCAACCACAATAAGCAACAATGCAAACAACATGTGTCCAAACAACAACTATGAACAATGCCTCCCTTCGGCGCTGCCCCCCAGTTACCCTGGATCGATCGCCCTGATACATGTCCCCAAGCAGCCCCAATATAAATGAAGCACCGGTTGGGATGAAAACCCACCAAAGCCGCCCAAAAGGGGTCTCGCTTGTACGGGGGCTGGGCTTTTTGGAATGGAGCCATGGTTCTGATCATTTGGGATCTATACCAACAGAACTGACCCATGAGGTTACCCCACGGAAAAGAGACTTCAACGAGTGGCTTCCGAGGATTCCTCAACTCTTCGGCAAAACGGACCCATGGATGCCACGATGCGATTCTTTTCCCATGTCGGGATTGGACCCCAGCCGCGTCCAACGGAACTTGGCTCCGACTTCGCGACTCCGAATTTCGATCCTCGTCCTCAGGGGGCTTCACCACGAAGCCGTCGAAGTACTTCCTTGCCGACAGGTCTGGTTCGTTGAGGGGTTCGGCCAGTGGTTCGGTTGATCCCTTGCTAAAAGCTAAGCTTTGCGTGGTGGATGTCACAAATTCAAAGGCCAAAAAAGCGAAAGTCTGAGAAACCGTACTGGGAACCGCCAAGTGTCCCCTTTCTCAACGTCGAGAAACTTTGGGTTTCGCCTTTGGGCTTTCTTTTGGGCTCCCAAGACCAAGAGAGTCATAATCAAAACCTGGTACTAAAATGGTCGACCCAGAACCATGTAAAAAATTAAGAAGGCGGCCGCAGATTGTCCCTTGCTAACCTTCATCTACCTGGGTTTTGAGCACGTGGCTCAAGAGGGGTTCAACACTTTGTGAGCCCCCCCACTCTTTTCTGCTCCAGCGGATGAGCCCAGCAAACCCCCACGGGCTGAAGACTCCAACAGAGACAGATCGATCCAGATCCGATTTCGGCAAAATTTGGGCTTTAGCGATGTATGAGACTCATAGCTTCAAGGAACCTTTCAGGAAAAAAGAAAGAAAAGGGCAAAACAAAACACAATCGGCAAACTGTGATTTTCAGCTTGAAAGAAAAAAACAACCAACAAAAAACGATCGGCAAACTGTGTTTTTTTCACTTTCTTGCAGAGAAAGATCAAATTCCAGGCAGTTCCCGGGCCCTTCACATCTTTGGCCATGCTTCTGCAGGCTCGGCTGCTCCACCATGGCCCGCACCCGTTTCAGAGCGGCGAGCATGGCGGCCACGTCTTCCTGGCACGCTGTCAGTCAGAGGGGCTTCTCAGAAGGACTTTCCGACACGGGGTATTCATGTGACCAAAGAAAAGTTTTTTTTCTTGGTGGTTCACACCTCACCCCAGCAGAAAAGTCTTTCAAGATTGCAAAACACATCATGTCTGAATCACCGGCGTTTCTTCCGCTTCCCTCTATGGAAGTGGTGGCATTGTTACCCTCAAGCGCCAGGAATTCCAAATCCCAAAGCCACCACTCCAGCGATGGGGTTCCATAAAAAAACGGGGCTTTGTGGGTACGTAGGTGACCGATTCTCAGCAGGGTGCCTTATGTGCCCAAGCATCACGCCAAGAAAGCTCCGTTCAAAGTGGCCCAAGAATGTTTGAATCGCCCGATACTAATTACATAAAATGAATTGAAGAAACCTCTTGGACATCACAGGGATGACATGGGAAGCAGTTGTTGGGATTTCTAGCGAAGGGGCCCTCAGCCAATCAGAGGAATTTCCGGGGGACTAACGTGCTCGGACAAAAACTGGTGTACCGATGACTCCAATCGAGAAAACCACACCCATGTCACCCCACACAATATGTATATATGTATATAATATATATACTTTACAACGGTACCGCGCCTGGAGAACTCAGGTTTCTGGCCAGAACGGGCATTTTCCCAGGAAAAATGCAAACTACTACACAAATGCATGTTTTTAGACTTACATTGTGGATGTGCTCGCACTTGCCGTACATGTTGGATTGGAAATTCAAGATTCTCACACAACGCTTTCTGGGAATCTTCAATCGTCAATTGTCAACATGTGGATTGAAGCTTCGCCAAAGTGGTATTTAAAACTTCAATCTTCAGCCTTTAATCCAGGATACGCCAGCACCCCGAAGTACGCCTGCCAGAGTTGAGGTATAACACTCACAGGGAAAGAAACACAGCGAACCAGAAACCGGGACCTTTATTAACCCCAGTCGGGTAGGCGAGTGCAAACCTGTTTTGATATGGGCATTGATACTTGAGCCAAACGCACATTCGCATTCGACATGTCTTGGAACGTGCAATCAACGGGGCCTCTAACATCACATGCATGCACACCCTTGTGGGGGGTCAAGGGGCCGTGATTTTTCAACCCCTCCCCGTGCTCACTACTTAAGAGACTTGTACTTTACAGTCGCACTTGAGCTGCGACCCATGTGATGCAAGGTCTTTACCAGACCAATAAGAGGGCTTACCTAAGATTTCTGCACTTTTCTCACTGCTTGGTCATCTCAGGCCGGACATCCTTCAACTTTTCGGGCAAATTTGTTCTGATGCCCAAAAGCTTGAGAGCGTGGTCCCACTTCAAGGGTTGTAGTGCTTTTGTGAAGATGTCGGCTGCCTGGAGATCGGTCGCTACGTACTTGATCACTACACCTGTGCCAGGTTCAAGTTGCTCTGCAAGTGCGGACAAGTTCACTTTAGGAGTGCGCTGTATGTGCCGCATTTTTGGGGAGCAACCTTTCTTAGCAACCAGGATAGTGGCTTGGTTGTCTTCGTGTAGCACCAGTTCAACCGGGCGTCCAAGCAAACGTTCCCACAGAGTCAAGGAGGGAAGACCCTCTTGTTAGAAAGAGAACGTGAGTGAAACAACCTCGGCTTCGGTGGTGGACCTCGACACTGATGTCTGTCGTTTGCTCAACCACGCTAACGGGAAATGGGTGTTCGGCTCTTTGCGGACTATCCTTTATGACTCCTACCAACCGGTAGTGCGTCGTCGAGTGGATGTACGCGATAAGACGGGCGAGTTGCCTATCGTGGTTGCGAGACCACTTCTGCACGGCGGTGGCTAAGTCACCTATGGGCTTGATGATATCAGGATGCGCCAGTCGTCCCGGCCATAAGGCCTTCATGAGGAGTTTGCACGCGTTTGGGGCTAGCTCACCAGCTGGCTGATCATCTTCTGGAGGAAGTGATCCGTCTTTACCTTCCAGAGCTTTTTTGGGGTTGAGTGCCGGTTCTAGAACAAAACAGTTCTACAGTTTGACGGGCATAGTCGTTCATGTCAAAGGCAACGGCACCCTTTGATGCGCTTACAGCTGCATTCAGATCATGCTCTTGAGGCTCTGCGGGCCATGTATGAAGACATGATTACGCCCAAGCACCCGAAAGATCGGCTCGGGAGGCGCTACATTTATCATTTTTGTAAGCTTTGCCCAAAAGGCTTCATGTGCATCTGCGGGACCTGAGAGGGTCAAGTGATCGACGTACGTCGTCGAGAGCATAAGGCCTACCCCTTTAAAGAAAAAGTTTCCAGGAAACTCTGGGAGTGAGCAGTTTCTTAAGGTGTCCCTCCCACAGACCTCCTGCGTCGGGGTGACCATATAGGGCACGGATCAACAAGACCACGGGTTTTACAACTTGGAACCCCACTCCTTTGGCCGCAGCTCAGGCGGGAGTTCGATCCACGTCTGGAATTGCGAGCTAAGGAATGCCTGGATGTAGGCCTTTACCGCGTCAGCGGTGGTAACAGGCGGTTAAGCCTTGTACCGAGGTGGGGTTGGCCCCCAGTTCCGGGTGCACCGGTTCATCTTTTGCACAGTCTCCCCTGAACACGATGCGCCCCTTTACTTTTTGGAGGTGCTTTGCAAGTTCATAGAACTTGATGCTGGCGATCGTCATGAGTTGACCAACGTGCACCTTGATCCCAGACTGTCGCGCTTGAGCTGCGACCTCAGCCTTCTCCCGTACAGTTGAACTATCCCATACTCCGATGTCTTGAAGTCCGGTCGCCTCCTGCTTGACTGCTTCCAATGCTTCAGGAGATGCAAGCATCTCAGCACGGGACAGGAGTTTAGTGACCATTGCATGCGCTTCTGTCTCGACAGCCTTGGCGGGCATGCCGACAGCAGTAGCAAGTAGACCTTGGACATCAAGGAGTTCCTCAACAATCTCTTTTGTTTTAGAGTCTGATTCAACGAGGAGGGAAGTCATCTGCTCCGGAAAGAGGAGATTCGTGCTTCAGGGATTGCTCCTTAACACGATGCTCCGTCTGCTGAGTGACTGGAACAACAGGCTTTGCATGAACCGGAATCCTACAAATTTTGGGATACAACGCTTTGGCAATCAAACCACACATGTGTTCAGGGTAGAATGCACGGCTCCCTGCCGCTGGAGTGTGTTTTTCGGACTTTGAGTGCGGACACTGGCGATCAGCGAATGCTTCGGCAAGAGCCTTTGATGTAGTTTTGATGTGCCAAGGCTTCTTGATGGGTAAACCATTTTCATCCGTCAAACCAACAGCACAGCCATGAAACAAAGCACCATGGAACACATCCTTGTGGCGTTCGAAAAACTCGGCTACAGCTGGCCTCTGCCAACCTTCGCAGTCACGCGGCCACTCGAAAGTGACTGATCCACCAGCCTTCAAAACATGCTCTGCGTGCGTTGCAAACTTTGAAAACATCAACTTGGATTGCTTGACTTTTTCCCCTCACTTTTTCTTGAACGGCTTTCCTAACCTATGGAGGCTCAGCCTTTGCCAAGGTGATCCTGAGACACATGGAATGGCTGCCCACAAGTTGGGTCGGACACACTGCGAGAGTTGATACGCGAGCTGCTCATCCGCAACGGCTGACTCTAAGTCAATGTACTCCTTTGCTAATCGGACATGTCGGACGTTAAGATATTCTTGAACACATTACCCATTGAGGAATTATGTGAACAAGCAAATTCAACCATCGGGCCAACAGCATCACGCGCTAGGCGCTTGCGAGCACGCTTGTTGCCACCAGTAAACGGAGGGCGTTCATCGCCCCCTGAAGCTGGCAAGGGTTACCGAAAACGGATGGCTTCTCTCTCGTGGTCTCAGCAAGTGTTGTGCTGGATGCGGTTGACACGGCGACGGCTGCTGCTGAGCTGACAGGGATGTTACCCTCGTGAGGACTGAGCCCCCTGCTGCGCTTAAAGCTGCAGCCGAATGCTCGGAATCACTATATAACCAAAAATGGTAATGCCAGTCCAGAGTCCAGGGAGTTCTCGATGTGCTGAGAATCTGCCTGCCCAACCATCACTGAAATCTTCCTTGCTACCATCTTGCTCGGACACGATGCGAGTGGTCCTACCGGGTGTGATTCTGCACACGACAATCACCGACATCCTTGGGAGTGAAGAGTTTCGTCCTAGGCTGATGATGCACGCGGATTAACACGTTACCACTAGGCTTAAAAACCCATTCATCCTTTTTGGTTGATGCGGGGACAGCGTCGGCATGCGCAACACTGGGCTGAGAAGAGGCGGGCTCTCCAAGCAAGGCACGGGCGACATCCAAATCTCCTTCCTCAGGTGCCTCGATCTCTGGGGCCTCTGGGGGTTCTAGAGAAGACGCCTTTGCAGCGCGTATAGCAGCTGCCTCATCTGCACCCTTACTTGGTTTGGCGGCCTCCTCACTTGCGGCCGTTTTGGCCTTTGCTTCTTCCTTTTCACTTTCAACTAGCTCTGCAAACCTTTTGCGGCATTCGTCAGTGTGATGCCTAGAACTAGCATGGCCGGCGCAGGCCTTGCATCCAGGAGTCTCCTTGAACTTTATGATCCGTTCAATGGTGATGTACACACTTCTTGACTTGGGCTTGTATTTTTTTAGGAAGGCCCTGCACTTTTCCCATCAAACTGGGACAGCGGGTCACCCCTGGGCACCAAACTGGGACAGCAGGGGATCATCCTGGGCACTTCCCCCACTAAAGAAAGCACCCTGGGTTTGAGTACGGAGTATGATTCGCAGGTATGATTCGCGGGTATGATTCGGGGGTATAATTAAGTCTTAAAGCCTGACGGAGTTGACGGGGCAGGAATGCCTTCAGGAATGAAAGGAACATCCCTGGTTGCATACTCAGGAACCTCGCCATCGCCTGTTCGCAGGGCTCGATCGGCAGCGGCCGCGATCGGGAAAACAGGATCGCCTTCCTCGACAAACAACTCAGGTTCGGGCACATCATGGACAGAAACACTTCCATTGGTCCTGAAACTTTGGTAGTTCATAA